CATTATAACTCGAGCTGTCACTGTCAGATTTCCGGATGTCATGTAACACAGAGGGCTAAAACATGAATACACACCCATTTCACTTTATTAGACAAGCGAATGTGGCTGAAGGCTGAATTAATCCGATCATTTTCCTGGACTGTCCGTTGATGCGTTCGCTAGCTGAGTTAGCTGCCCGGCTAGCTGGCAAATGGGCAGTTTACGCCCAACCCAGGCTAATACTATTAGACAGTCGATATAACGCGCCGCTGCACACGATCATCAGCAGAGACTGATAAAAAAAAAAAAACATCGGAAACATTGCGCTCAAACCGCTCGAGCGGAAGGAAGGACGACCAACCCTTCTAGTTACATCGTAGGCTGTCAAAGTCATACAAACAGACAGCCGACAGCATCAGCATCTGATCACGCCAATGAGCTTGTTTGGCTGGCACCACGCATCAGCAGCATACATACAATATATTTACATGCATGTGGGTAGCTTGCGATTCCTGTTGATTTGTGATTAAACCATTTCGAAATGATCACTTATATTATCCTTATTTTATCAACAAGCACCCCTAACGTGGAACCATTACTACAATAAATAATAATTTAATAATTCATTTAAATATAACAATTATATTACAAATCTATTTTGACATATTGGTTTAATAGAGATATACATAATTATATAATATCAAGTGGATGATTGCCTGGTTGATTCCTTTCAGATCTTCCAGGTCCACTTTAAGATTTACAACTTCAAAAAAACAAAAACAAACAAAAAAAAACTTTACAACTCTTTTGGTTGTAATTCTCTTTGGTAAATTACGTATTTATGCTTATGAAAGATATTTTCATCTTACGAAAACAAAACGATTGAGGTCTTGAATTTATTTTATTAGCAACATTTAGTATTCATAAGCAAAAAATAGGCATAATTATTCTCTAAGATAGTTTTCATATTTTTTTCAATCATCTAGGTTTTTGAATAATAAATTGAAAGTGTTTTTAAGCTACTGCAGTAGTGAATTTTCAAATCCCCAATAACACCGTTGTTTATTTTTATAGGAATGTATGCTACAATGCAATGTTCTGTACTATGGACTGTATTTTGTATTGTATTCATATGACACTTAAAGTGTACATTCAATATATTAGATCTGTGTGATTAGGAGCGGTTAGCAGTGAGCTGTTTTGGCGTAAATGTAAGGTTTTGGTGATGTCTGACCTGCTGCACCTGATCTCGCGGCGAGCAGCGCACTGCTAGGCTGCTAACGTCATCAGAAACACAGGCTAAAGCCGACTAGCTCGCTAACAACTCAGCCAACAAACTGAACGACTGTGCCCAGCCCTACAATCCGAACTACAGCATATCGGCGACGTTTTCGAGTTAACGCTGTATATGTATGGAAGGCAAAAGCGTGCGCGTTTTGCGGTTACAACTTACATGAGCGCTGAGAGAGAATTGTGCTGATGTCCGTTAATTTCTCCCGATGGAACACTCCCACGGTGACGTCAGCGGCGCGCTCACAACGCGTGAGGGAGCGTGGCACTATATGACGAGTGACCACATCAGAGTGTCAAAAGCAGAACTTAGGTCAGTGGTTATCAAAATGCTGAACTCACACTTTCGCTTAAAGGAATAGTTCACACAAATATAAATCCTCCTGTTGTACTAAACCCATGTGACTTTCTGTGTTACACACAATGTTTGCCGTAATGTAACCCTGAGACGTATGCAGTGTAAACAAGGGGGTTGAGCTGTATGCTACTAATAACATTAGTTAGATGCCAGATGTATAGCCTATGTATTTTTTAAGCTGTGATGAGTCATATGATAATATGTAGGCTAATTTGACAAAATGTTTTATTTAATGTTATAAATGAGTCTATTTAAAAAATATTTATTTAAAAACTAATTATTGAAATGAACGAAGACTTGTTTCGTCCAGAGTTTTTGAACGAATCTCTTGAATGATTCGGACATAAAATACGTTTTAACAGTCACTGGTCGCCACCTACTGGCATAATGTAACATATACAATCTACCGTTGAAAAGACGTCCCTCCGACACGTCCCGTCATGGTTGAAAAATAGTTCCAAAATGAAAGTTGCATGGACGTCTTTTGACGTTATTTGTAGACAATTACAAACGTATCTGAATGCATTTGAAATTATCTGTTACATATTTTAAACGATTTGTACCATCCTACCGCTACTATTTTTGGCCAGGGACACGACGTTGCCGTCGGACCGATGTTTAACGTTACTGGGTTATGTTCTTCGCGCCGATAGCTCTGTCTGTCCGGATTCCAACTAGCAGCTCCACTGAATGTTTATAGGATAATAAAACAGCCATCTATACCAACAGAAAATTTGGATTACGACGAAATTATTACCATCTTCGATTCAAAACCCAGACGACTATGACTTGTTTATCCTGGCAGTGGCAGGTCGCAGCGCCACTTCCGGTGGCATCCCCAGATGGCAGCTGCCACGATCTTTCTCGCCGTTTCTGCTGTTATGGATGTGGGAAAATGAACCACGCAAATGATGACTGCTGGTACAAAGATCAAGCCTGCCATTCCTGTGGAAAGAAAGGCCACATCGGACGCATGTGCAATAAAAGAAACTTTGAGAGAGAGAAAGCACGAGAAAAAGTTTAAGCCATGTAAAAGACGGAGTAAAAATGATAAGACATGGGTAGCCTACATCATCTGGATGCTGGAGGAAAACAAAGTGGTGAGTTGAGTACAGATACAGAGAAGGAAATGTCACTGTATATGATAACCAAAAGAGAGCAACTCGCACACATTTGTATAGCTCCACAAATTGAAGGAAAAATTATTGAGATGGAATTGGATACAGGTGCTGCAGTGTCCTTAATTTCAAAGGAAAAATATATTAATGACTTGCAGCATATTCCACTGCAGCCGACCACATAATCTTAAAAACATACACTGGAGAAGCACTAGCACCAGAAGGGGTCATCAATGTAGCGGTAAAATGAAATAATCAGTCTGCGCGATTGCCACTGTACGTGGTTAACAGTGATGCCCCACCATTATTTGGTAGAGAATGGCTGAGATCTATAAAACTTAACTGGCAAGACATAAAAACAGTCAAGCATGGAGTTGCAGACACTATAGAAACTGTGATAAATCGGCACTCCAACGTTCTTTTATTTTGCCTAAAGTGGTTGGTGTTTCATGAAGCTTCATTGGGTTTATACTGTATGAACCTGAAAAAGGAAATAGAAACACTGAAGTCATTTGATTATCTTCTAGTATCAATGAAACAATGCCACTTCGGAACAACAAAAGAAGTGCAGATGCTTTGAGTGCACCTGATGATGCTTTGAACTGATTAAGAATATTCCAATATACAGTGTAGATCAAAATTATAGAACAACCTACAATTTCCTAAATTTCAATGTCTCTCCTTGGTCCTATTTGAAGTTATCCTAACAGGAGTAAAAGGATAGTATTTCAAGCATATTTCATAAATTTATTCTCAAGTACAGTATAAGAACTCATCAAAATTAGAGAACCTGGTGCTAATATCCTTAATTATATGACAAACCCTATTTAACTGGCAGCATTCCTCTAATTTTCACTGAGATAGCAAGATAGCGGGCCACTCTGAAACCCTGCAACAGGAGGTGGTCCAGATGAAGGCCAAAGGGATGACTCTTTCAGCATTGCAAAAGAAGCTAGTTATTCCAAATCTGAGATTTCTAGAATATTGCAGCTTTACAATGACACTAATTAATTCATTCATGCAGCAGGAGTTGGGCCTTTTATACAGCTACATGGCAGGATGAATGTAAATGTTTATCAGATCCTCCTTCAGCAACATGCAGTTCCTTTCCTGCGTTCATCGCCCAATAGCCTGAAATTTTCATGCAGGACAATGCCCCTGTCACACTGCAAAACGGATAAAGCAGTTTTCAAGAACATTGAAATAATGAAATGGCCAGCCCAGGGATCTAAACCCAACTGAAAATCTCTGGAGAATTCTTGGCAACAAAGTTGTGGCTAAGAAACCCACTACAGTTACCAACTATATGGAAGAGAATGGAAGAAGAGTGGACCAAGATCACACCAGTGCAGTGAAAAAACTAATTTTTCACAGCTGTAACCCCTTCAAAATTTTAGTTGTAATCTTTTGTGCGACAGTGGTTACTGTTCTCTAATTTGGATCACTGTATTTTCCACAAAATAAAGGTTTTTGTTGAAATGCCTCGGTTATTGTGTCAAACGTGTTAGTATAACAGTGGTATACCCACAGTTAATATTCCTTATTTTGAGCGATGAAGATTAACAGCATTTTAGAAAAAAATCGAGAATTTATAGTGTTCTCTAATGTTGATCTCCACTGTACAAATAGGTTTTCCTGCAATTCATCTGTCCTCATTTACTTTCCTTGCACCCCTCGCTCATATCCTAAAGGGGTAGAGCTAAAACACAAGGAAAAGCAGTAAGGAAAGGAACAGAATGCACAAATTTAATGGATTCATTAAACAGCTGATTCATTCAGGAACAAAGCAAGTGACCAAAGCGAGAGCCACAGAGAGGTTTCCTCCCTCAGAGTAAGAAGGGCCAAGGTGAATTTAGCCCAAAAGTATATCAGAGGACAGGCAAGTATTATAAAGCAGTGAGGGCAGGGTGAAGCAAGAGGTTTCTCAGCTGAAACCCAACCAGTTTGGCCCCATAATTCATTTTGTGACAGACGAGGCTGTACAAATGGCTTAAGGGCACATTTGCACAGTGTTTTTCCCTTAACATTTTTGGAGAAAAAAAAAAAAAAAAAAAAACCTACATTTGTATCATGGTTGTCAAGTACTCATGCATGTGTATGGACTAAATGCATATTATAGTTTTTAAAAATTCATGTTTGTAGTTTGAGACAATAGTATACTTTGAAAGCAGTTTTCAAAAGCTCACAAAAGCCCCCCCCCAAAATGAAATTGGTAATTTCATAACCCCACCCCCCAAACACAACAGCAAGCAACATGAAGTCTCATTAAGTTTTATTAGCCTTATATGAAGCTGAAGAGAAACATTCTGAGGTCACTGGAGTCATCCAGAGGGAACGCAACGCCATTTCAGAGTACCTCCACACTCATCTCACTTTAAACAAACCTTTAAGGCCTGTAGACCGAGGATAACTGTGCATTATAAGACACTGATTTAGGGCTGCGGGGACCAAAGACTGGATCCTTAGGATACTTGGGCATGAAAGGGTATTCCACAGCTGGAGGCATATAAGACTTGAGTAACGGTGGGAATATTGGATGCTGATCAGGCTGGTATGGGGCAGGTGTAGTTGTGGTCGTTGCAGGAATGGTCACTTCAACTGGGCTTTGGAAGCCATTCATATAAGGAGGGAAGTTTGGGTACCAGGGATGTTGAGGTTGTTGTGCTGGGGGAGCAGCTGGGTCACGTCTAGAGTAAAAGTATGGATCAAACACTGGCCTGGGATACATCTGAGGGAACATGTGTTGCTGGAAAGGATATTGAAAAGGAGTAGTTGTAGTAGGTGTTGTAGGTGGCACAGTGGGAGGCAGGGTAGCAGGTACACCAGGATAATATGGAGGATACCACCAGGGTCTTCCAAAAGGGAAAGGGTCAAACATCTGTTGCATGTCTGGGTCAGCAGGCATGGTTGGGGCGATCGTTGGCCGTGTCAGAGGACAGGAAAGAGTGACCTCCCGGTCACCGTACATCAAAGGGAGTTGCATTTCAGTGTCCTGAGGAAGACATGAACATCAATTTGTGTAAACCTAGTATAACTAGACACGCTATGAATGACAGTCCACTACTTTTACCGTCATTAGCCAACAGCTTCCTGTGAATGGTGCAGTGACAACCACTGAACCATCAGTATTCTCCAATGTGAAGGAGCATTGAGTGTACGTTAGAAGCAGAGGCTGCCATGATCCATCAACTAAAAGCAGAAAACAAGTCAAGCTTAAGGTCCTTTCAGCTTTTTGATTAAATGCAAATTAGGGGACTTGCCTAGAACTTTAACAACATCTGCTCTGACCCCAAGTGTGGCAATCATGCCAGTGGAGAGGCAGGACACTGTAGGGAGTCGAGGACTCACAGGACAAGATATTCGCACCGGAGCTCCCATTATAATGAGCGGCAGAATATATCTCCCACCCTTTTAGAAGATGAGAAAAAAAGTAAATGAAACTCATGCAAGGTATCACATAGTTGAAGCATTACTCTGCACTTAACACCTTGATCACCAACCTGTTTTTTGACATGACAGCCTCGGTATGGAGCAACAAGAGAGACATCCCTGCGTGCTCGCTTCAGTGAGAAACCACAGCTGGCTGGCATCTCAGACAAAGGCACTGGAGACTCCTCTCCTGATGGTCAAGAAATTAGGTCCATTTTAAAAAAAGGCACACAACAAACCACACAACTCACCTCGGTCAACCAGAAAGTGTGGCATTCTCAGCCCTGGAACGCGCAAGATCATTGAATCATTGCTACACTGCACAGAAGAGCCCAGACGTTGCGGCTTAGCTTTAGCAGGGAGAAACCACGCTTAAAAAGAAAGAAAGCGATCAAATTGAGTTATGGTCCCAAATTTTTTTTTTATATA